AAAAGATCAGATACAGGTCACATTACGTCAAAAAAAAAAAATCGGAATTGGGTCACTTCAGGCTGCAGTGTAAACGCACCCTAAGTCTTAAGTGTTTAGAGCGTAGTTGCTAGTTTTTATTATTATTATTATTACTATTATTATTATTATTAGTTAAGTATTGTTCAGTTTAGTTTTTATTAAAGTCGTAGTCTGTTCTTATATTTTGGTAAACTTTTAGATGAGTGACTCAAAATGCATAGTTTTGTTATTATATTTACATCAGTTGGGTAATGAGTGCTCACCAGAAGTTGCCATTTTGAACAAATGTTTTCAATTATTGTTGACCAACAACTGACTCAACCAAAAAAATCTATTTCACATCAGTTTGAAAGGCCAATAAATAGATTGATAAACATTAAAACAAAGGACATATTTCGAATTTCAATATGCTTTAGTTAGTTTTATAAACGCATGATGTAGTGCCAGTTAGTTGTAGTTTTTCCCCCGTTCCTTACCATTTTTATTTATTTAAATTAACGAAAATGTTTTCTCAATTTCAGTTTTAGTTATTTCATTAGTTGTAGTTAACTATAATAACCTTGGTTTCTGTTTTTTTAAGTTCCCCATAACCAACGTCGGCACCATCTTCAGCAAACTGCGTTCCATTTCCGAGGACAAACAGAATGAGGTCAGGGCGTTCCTGTCCCACAACACCCCCGTCAACTGTGGCTTCGTCTCCTTTGAGTCCTTCAGGTACACTTATTAAAATGAATGTGGGATAGTTGTATTATATTTCAACAGTTTTAGTTGATTGTTCTTGTTCATCTGCGTGAGTGGAAAATAACAACTATAGAAATGTTGCACCTTTTCTCAGCGTATTACATCTTTTAATGTATTTCTAATATCGGATTAAAAAAAACTCTTAAGTGGTGAACTCGAAAAAATCTCCACAATGATTAATTGATTAATAATTGATAGAATAATAAAATACTAAACCAATTGTTGGTTGCAGTCGTAAAAGTAACGTTTTCTGTCCTATATTGCTAGAAATATTATCTCACCCTCTGATTCAGAATCACACAGCATTCTGGGGGATGTAGGCAAAAGAAACTCACTCACTCGTTCTTTGGTTACCTAGCAACAACCTGTTGCGCAGCAGCAGTTTCAGGTTTTGCTTCTGTGCCTCAAAACTGCTTAAAAATAATAATAAAGAAACGGCACGGATTGAAAACTGTGGATAAAACAGTTGGGTCACGCTTCCAGTTTGGCAGTATGCCAAATACTTAAAACAAAACGCTAATCAATAATTATCCATCGACAAATATGAAATCCTTATATTGTGAAATGTTTTTCAGCCATATGGTCCAGCCCTAATTTTGAAAATTTGCTTTGAGACAATTTTCAAGTAATACTATTGTAATACCTCAAAGATCAAATAACTTTAATTTCTAAACAACATTCAATACGGGAACTGGAAGATGTTTTAAATGTCAATAAAATAAATCAACAAAGCAACAAATGAAATGGATCCTGAAGTCTCTGAAAACAAAGTAGTCCTTCATAAAAGATTTCTCCTGTAGATTTGTGACGCTCACGTTCTCTTCCTGTGTGTGTTTGTGCCATCGCAGAGACTTAGTGATGGGTCTGAACTGCGGCCTGACGGAGCACGAGGTCCTGGTGCTGGCCCGGCGCTTCTCGGAGCACCCGGCGCCTAAAGAGGACGTGACGCTGATGCTGTCTGTGGCGCAGCACTACCTGAGGAGGAACCGGTTTGAGGACTACAATCTCCTTTCAGCCAGATTTGTGCACAGCGACAGGCAAAAGTAGGCAGCACGCGCACTGTGTCACACCAAAAAATGCCGTAGCGACACGGAGGCAGATCTTGCATCGCAACAAAACTTCAGAGGCGCAGCTGGCGGCCTCACGTGTGTCAGGGCGACGATTAGTTCCAGAAACGTAATGGAGGGTTAATGGAAGCAGATGGACTCCACTGACCAGGGTGATGACATGTATGTGTCATTTAGCCTGGCCTTTTCTTTTCTGCACAAAACCATGAGGATGGAGAGTATGACGGAGTATTAGGGCCGCGATAAGAACATTTAAAAAATAATATACCAGAATAAAGTCATGCTGTGACTTTATTTATGAGAACGGTATGGTAATTTCATTTATATAGCACATGTCAGCAACGAGGCAAGGCTTGCTCATAAATTGTCATACTCCAAGAATAATCTTTTGTCTTTGCACTATTATGACTTCATTGTCAAAACATTACAACTTCATTCTTGTATTTCAATTTTATTCTTGTACGACTTTATATTGAGACTTTATTCTGGTCATTTTATTTTTATTCGTCTTTAGTATGGCCCTAATGCTCTGTAGTATGGTGTGACCTTTAACCTTCCAGCAGTAACTCTCACTAAAAGAGAGTTAGCTGGCTCTGTAGAACCAGCTCCTCTCTCACAGTGTCGCATTGTTCATCAGCGTCCCTGACATGAAAATAGTATGGCAGGAATGGAGTATCCTGCATCACTGTGGAAAACAACAAGCAGCCTGTATAACACACACACACGCACACGCACACACACACACACACACAGTCTGAATACTTCACACAATCTCATCATGAGAGCGCAGGCTTCGTGACTCTGTGTCAGTCCTTATTGGAAAGGTATTCTGTCTCACGGCGGAGGAGAGCCTGGGATGTGTGTGGAGACGGAAAGCAGGAGTTCTTCCATGTCCTGGATGCGCTCCACTCTAATCGGACCCAATCACTGCAACAGCTGATGCTGAACACAAAACCTGCTCCAGGTTAAAGCTGGGCTCAGATTTAACCCAGATGTTTGGAGTGCAGACCGTAAAGAAGCGCATTCGCTCCAGAGACGAGGAGTCTCGTTTGGGGCACGTACTCGAGTCGCTTACGCACTGACTTTAGGTTCGATTTGGACTTGAAAGAAGTCTTTTGTTTTTTTTTTTGCCTTTTGTTTACAATATCTTCTCTGTCTTATCACCTGCCTGTTGTATTATTCATTTCCCATACTACAACAATACGTGACGCAGATGAGCATCTCTGATTTGTCCAAATCTATTTAAAGCAGCATCACAGTCCGTTTCCTCCAGCAGTGGAGTTCTGCACACCGACTTTCTGAATCCTGACAGACTCCAGCTGGTTTCTTGGCTTTCTGTTTCTCTATGAGCATCCTTGTCTTCGTCTGTTCAGTTCTTGATCCACGTTGTTACACACGTCTTCATTTACAGACAAGTTTGTTTTGATTTCTGATTACTGGGGTTGTTGCCATTTCATGTTAATGACCCTATTAGAAATATTAAAACTGAAGAAAAAGATTATTGTAGTCAACATGTTTTCTACCGTCGGACCCAAAAAAAAAAAAAAAAAAAATCCCAGAAAAGCAGCTTTAAGTTCCAGGTACTGTGTTCTTTGAGTGAGACGCCTTACCCTTGACTAGTCCACTCATTGCTCTTGTCATTTCGGTGAAATAGCTCCGTTTTCTCCTTGTTTGTAATTCTGACACATTGAACTTTCCTAATGGTTGAATATTTTAGCAGTGTCAGTAAGTTTCCACTTTATTCTTCTATATCTAGGTCAGTGTGCATTGCTTGGTAATGTGTGGTAACATGACTACATAAGCCTTTCTGGCTTCCCTTCATACGTTTCATCGATTAACTGAATCACCAAACTGAGTGACGAGGATTTTTCTGATTATTATAATAATCTTTGGCTAATGGATACTTAAATAATTCATGTTTGCATAGGCCATATTTATCTCTGATTTCCTGAAAACATTTAAATATTGTTTGTTTTTCTCCAGAGTCCTCCGTGCATGAATCCGTGATCATGGTGATTTACAGTCATACTACAACAGATCCACTGCAGTGACTGTGGGTTTCTTTCAGTTCTGTATTTATTGGCTGTTCTCAGCCATATTTTTCAGGTTACAGCTGTGAGTCTAAATGATTTAGAAGTTTTTATAGATCTCTTCATCTCCTGTCAGACTTTGACTCAGGCTTAACTCCTGACATCAGTTTCGGTTCCCTTAGCTTCATAGCTTTGTTTTCACCACTAGTAGACATATCTGTAAATTGTTTTATCATAAATCTTCTCTCCAGAAGGGATTTTTTTATTATTATTTTTTTTTAAAAGGGAGGAAAAAGCGGGTACACTGTAGATGTTCCCCTTCAGTGTGGAGAGTGATTCCAGTCGTTCTCGGCAGACGTGGAGGTTCTGCCGTCGCTCTCCGACATGCTGACCCATCCGTGTTTCCTTTCATCTACGGATTGACCTTCTTTGGTTGGACAGTTGAATCTCGGATTCATCTCTTTGTGCTTCAAGTCACTCTGGTTTATTTCACAATCTAAAAGGTTTCTGTTGCCACACTGTTAGAGATATTTGCACTAACTGGGATCAGTTGAGCCACCACTTGTTTCTAGGAAATTGGGGTGAGAAAAGGGGAGTGTGTGTGAGAGAGGCGTGGGTTTTAGGTCGTAGGGAACCAGCTCAACTTTTTGATTTGCGAAATTCGTTCGGTCTGAACGTGGCACAAGTAGAGCCACAAGACAACGTTTTTTGTTTTTGTTTTTGGAAATGCTACATTATTGAAATATTTCTGTTTATACTTGTTCTGATTGTTTGAATGGCTACACAATATCCTGAGATACAGCTCTGGAGAAAACATAAGAGACCACTTCAAAACGATTAGTTTTCTTGATTTTACTCTTTGTAGGTACATGTTTGAGTAAAATGGGCATCGTTCCTGTGACAACATGTGACAGCATGTCTCCAAACTTCCAAGCAAAAAAAAGAGAGAAATGGTCAAAATGACAAAAAAAGATGGAGTTCTTTCAGACCTCAAAAAATGCAAAGAAAACAAGTTCATGTTCACCTAGAAACAACAGGGAAGAGTTCAGAAATCAATATTTGGTTGAATATCCATGAGATTTTCAATGTTCAGCGCAGTGGTCTCTGCACTTTTTCCAGAGCTGCATATACAGATGTATAAGTTGAAGATCAAACTACGGTCAGCTGGATGTAGAGATCCTAAACTTGAAAAAAAGTGTCTCGTTTTACCCCAGTCTGCGCTGGTCGTTTCTGATGATTCGGTTTGAATTATTTACACACGTTAAAATCAGAACTTATTCTAATGAGCCGATTCGCCTCTAGATCGGAACGTCTGCCCGCCGAAGAGGTGAGGAACATCTGCAAAGCCTTCATGCTCCCCATCCCCGAGAGCCTGCTGGAAGCCCTCTTAACAGAGTAAGCCCCCGCTCTGTTCCTTCGCCCAGATTTTTTGGCATAGTGAAAACCCGTCTAATCATGGTGTAAACTTCACCTGGAGACCACTGGAGAATATGCAAATGCTTTCTAATCATGTCTGCTGCAGGTATGCAGACGGAGGCGGGATCGACTACCACGGCTTTGTCGCTGGATTAAACTGGCTGGAGCACCCGGCGCCGGCAGTGATGACCGACGACATTTTAAAGGTAGGCGATAAGGGCGACACTTCTTCACACACAAAGTCGAGAGCGAAGCGAAACTTTAAAACGAGAGTCGGCCATAAGGAGGCCGGGCGTGTGCCCAGATTTTTAAAGAGATCTAATTGAAAATCAATCTGCACTACCCCCGTTCCCTCCGCCGTCTGCGATGACTCAGAGGAGAAGGGAGCCAAAGTCGGAATTAAGTGAGTGGAAAGGAACAGTCAAGTGAACAAGAGGACAATTGATTGGGAGCAGAAGTTGAGAATGAGTGACGCGCAGACTGACAGAGAGGAAGAAAGCACGGCCGCGCCTTTGTTCTTCCTCCTTGCATGTGCTGCTCTTCCTGCATAACGTCGATTTGGAATGCTCCGCCGCAGCCAGATCTAAGCAGAAACAGGTGAGCGGGAGAGATGTGCGCCGGGGCATGACAACAAAGGGAAACGTTGCATGTTGGAATGAGTGTGTGTGTGTGTGTGTGTGTGTGTGTTATTAGTGGTGCAGTCGATCCTCCCTCTGCCACGGTTTCCAGCAATGTTCTGTCCCAGACTGGTCACTCTCTCCCAGCTCTTTTTTAATCTGGTGTCCTAAAAAAAAACCTGAATTAAAACGTGAATATGGTGGGGTCAGATGGAGAGTAGACCCCACCAAGTCGCCAATTAGGATCCGCAGATTTTTCAATGATTATTCACTGAAAATTTAGCTGGTCACAATTTTTTTCACAGAGCATGTCGAAAAGAAAATGCATCTTGGGAAGATGAAATATTTGGGCAGTTCATTTTCTTTGGTGCTCTTTGACTGAACCTGGGTCAGACAATAGAATGGGCAGTAACCCAGGGCTCCAATGTTTGGGGGCGCTCAAGATATTTTTTTCTCTATTTTTTTTTTCCAAATGAATGGTGGTTTTGCAAGCATTGCACTTTATATGAGACTCATAGGACCAAATCATCCGAGTTGAATTCTATTAGGATTTGAAGTACTTGAAAATTCTGAAGTTATAGTCGATTTCTTGGAAACAACATGAGTTATTGGCGTGAAGTTGTATAAAGCCTACAATGCATCAGTTCATATCTGCTGATGTACAGAACTACATATTAATTTACTGTAATTATCATTAGCGAAAGCATTTTTCCTTGGTGGACATGGCACCAAAACTGGCTCCATATTAAGGAATGTTTAGAGTTTAAATTAGGCAGTTTTAGGTCCCTTGAAAATGAGGAGTTATTCTCCCGATGGGATTTAATCTGTACAAATAATGGCCAATTACAAAAGCAAAGCAAATTTCAGAGGAGTCTGAAGCCCCAAAATCTAGAATTTAGGAAAGGAAAGGCATTGGTAACAGTTCATTCAGGTCTAAACATGCATAAAGAAGAAGTGATGCTTTCAAATGGTCTAGTCAAACTCCCATCCAAAATCCAGCTGAGAGTACATTGCCAAAATGGTGCTTCAGAGGTCACATTAGTAAAAACATTTAAAAATCCATCAATAAAAAGAACATTGAAGTTCTTGGCCACAATGTATCAAAATATAAAATGTGGGAACATTTTTCAAGGCACTTTATGTCCCAACAATCAAATTTAAACAAGAAGGACTCCGTTGTTTTTTTTTTTTTGTTGCTTTATTTTAAGTTTCAGATGATAAAAAAATATGAACAATTACAAAGCTCTTTTGCTTGAATAAAGCTCATGAGGCTTTATGGAGCACATAAAGGACGAACAAACAAACTATAAATACTCCCATCAGTTTATTTGCCAGTGTGTGTCAGTGACGTGTGTTCCTGTTCTTTCCAGTATGAGGTCAGCGCCAGGTTTGATGGTGGTCGATCTGCTCTGAAAAACATCAACTGCTCCAGCCTCGTGAAGGAAATATTCAGCTTTTCGCCCAACAAAGGTGAAGCAGAAGCCGCTGCCTCCACGTAGATGCTTGGAGGGAAGGAAGTGGACTCTCAGACCAGCAGCCATTGTCTGCTGATTAAAGAATGTCACTTATTCAGTTCCTCTGTTTTCATCGTGCATCTTGCTAAGGCACAGAGGATGGGAGAAGTGTGAACACTGAATGTTTGTTGTTTTGTGTGTTAGCTGTCTGGCAGGAAAAGGCCGTTGGTTCAGCACACTCCACTTAGCTGGAAAATCGGTGCTTTAAGGAAGAAACCTGCTCAGAAACCAGATGTTTTTGATGTTTTTTTTTATGTTTTTTTTTCCTGTGGGTGTGTGTGTGTGTGTTTACAAGTGATAGTGTAAATTCAAACAGCTGGTCTGAATGATGTAGCGTACTTTCCAAAGTATTCAAATCCACAGTGTCGGCGATCCTTAGCCTTAAATTGATCTATGTGGAAGTAAGGCCTTAAATTATTTTTAGAGTAAGTTGGGCTTAAATATGCAAATCACAAATCTTACATTTTGTCGTAGCTGATCTATTTAATCTTGTATCTAGGTTTTTGGGGTTTTTTTCTTGCAAGACTTTTCTGTCAATTTGTAGCGCACGCGCAGAAATCTTCAGAAATCTTCACTGAGTTCTCTGACTCAGTGCAGTCAATAACTTGCTGCTAATATGTCCTTGCTAACTATCTTTCTTGATTAAATCAGTGGCAAATTGTTTTTGCCACTGATTCACTACTGCTGCCAGCCCACATGAGCCAGCAAGATCCCCCATTCACCCTCTATATTTACAGTTTTTTTCGGACTTAAATTTCATTCAATCTGGCATTAAAAGGTCTTAAAGAGTCTTAAATTTGACCTGCTTAAACCTGCCCCTGGATCTTTTTCACATTTTGTCACTTTTGTTGGTTTTGGGGATTCAAAAGTGTGCAGAATGTGAAGGAAAATGATTCATGGCTTTTGAGTGATTAGTAAAAATCCGAATCAGGTCAGTTGCAGGTCCTTTCAGGTATTACGCACCCAGCTTTGTGCATCTCTAGACTGATGTTTTTGGTTTGCAAAATACCTCAAGCTCAGTCAGATGGAGAGCCTCTGAGAAAAGATATTTTCAACTCAAGTCTCACGTTACCCATTTTATTTAGGTCTGGACTTTGGTCCTTTATGAAGCATCGATATGCTTTGTTAATAAATTATAAGGTCACTTTACAAAGAACGTAAAAATGTATGTATCTAGAAGGGAATCACAATGAATGGGCAGTTTTGATCAGATGGGTTTTAAGGCTGAATTCAAACAGGGGAAGAATGTTGATATTCTGACAATTGATTTTATTTTATTTTTTATTTTTGATGTTCTGGTGGTAACAAAGGGGATGTTCAAGATTGTTTTTAGGCTACGGATTGGATTTCTCTTTGCCAGCCACATACAGCATAAAAACTAAGGACTTAAAAAGGCTCAACAACCTGATGAAGAAGGCCGTTTCTATTCTGGGGACCTCTGGATATGACGATACAAAGAAGGATTTTACATAAAATCACGAAAGTGACGGACAACCCTGAGCATCCTCTCAATAAGACTATCATAGAAAAACAGTCTTCAGTGTCTTTGACCACAGCCATTAATTATCGTTACTATCTGCAACAACTCTGAGGAATCTTGAATGACTTGAGCTACAACAACATGCAATTTCCCTTTGGGATCAATAAAGGACTTTTGAATTGAATTTGAGATCAAATGAGTAGTGAGGGGAGAGGTTGTGGTTGACCTTGAATGTAAACAGAAGAGTTTTGATATCTGTGATGGTAATGTTTTGCTGTGGTGATGGCACATTCACTGAGACATCATCCAGTCTTTATTCAATGCCACACACACATATGTCTAAAAGTTCTGGCAATTAAAACAAGATCACCTTTAATTATCTGCAGTTGTAACATGACAAAGTGTTAAAGAAAAGGATGTGAAAACTTTTGCTAACCTCTATACTTTATATCCTTGGAGACACTTGGACTGCACCTGCAATGCGTGGCTCGTTCTGTCTTTGTTGGCGAGACGTTTTCACATCACTAAATTGATATAATCTACTTTTGGCTCTGCCAGATGCCCTCGTACCCCCGTGTACACCTTCAAGTCTCATCCAATCCCTTCATTCAAAAGCCTCAAATCAATGCAGAGCACGCCAGTGCAGCTCTGGCTCTGAGTGCATTGAGACCTGCCAGCACAGAGGTACTCCAAATGGATAAGCCTTCTCTAAGTCCACAAATCACAGGAAGACTGAAGAGTTGAGTGATACCTCTAAGTGGCACAAACTTTCCACCCATTCTTAAAAAGTTTGGGAACGCTGAGTGAACTCCTCGGATTGCTTTCTGTGCGTGTGTGGGGGTGGAGGGGGGTAAATATATAAACAGACACAGGTTGTTCCTGGTTGAGGCGCCACTGTAATCAGAGCCTGTGGTGCAGATCACAGCAAACTTTAGGTAATCAACCGGCCAATCCCCTGGCCTGCTTCTAGGGCATTACATCAGCCAGGGTCTTATCGGTTGCTCTCAGTCTGCTGCCACACATGCTGCAGTATTAGTCGGCGAATTACAATAGTTGACAGTGATGTGGTCAGGGAGCTTCCCAAATGCATAGCTGAGCTTCTTTCTCCTTTCTTTTTTTCTTTTAAGCATGCTGTGAATGAGGGAGGAATTTCTCCCAATGCCAACCCACCACCCTCCTTTCCCCCTGCCAGCGTTCATTCCTGCTCCTCCCGTCAAGTTTGCTTTCTCTTTGCAAACCGTCTCTGCCCCAGTGGAGCTCTGCAGCACAGCAACAGCACGCTGAATGAGCCCTGTCGTCATCGTCCGTCTTTGAAATCCGATCGCATCATATGACAGAGCATCTTTCAGGATTAGACCAGATGTTTTGCTCAACTTCAGATTTAGTGGTAATTAAATGAGGAGGATTTCATCAATCTGTAATGAAACTTCCTCTGTTCTCACTGTAAAATCCATTAGAAAAACAATTAGGATTAAATTATGAGCCCAAATATTCCCCAAAGGCAAATTACTGGAGGTCTTGCTATTAGCTTAGGAACAAAAACGGCTTGAAAATCAGTTCTTTGGATAACTGGAAGCTAATGCAAAGATCTGGACATGGAAAGGATAAAATATTTGGGGTTTTTTAGCTTGAGACTAGATTTGAATTGTTATAGAACCTGTAAAAAAAAAAAAAACCCAGGTCATTCAAACATTAAGCCCCAAAACTAAACATTAGCATAGATTCAAAATCAAACTTTTTGACATGTTCACAAGATTCAGCAAAAATAGTGAAAGGTTTCATTTAATTTTACTGTCCATTGGCATCTTCCAAGAGAATTAATCACGTATTTATTTGGCATTCAAGAAATTCTACACAGACAGCATTTAACATCGGTGAAGCACGAAAAGACATTATTCAAAAGGCTAAGTTTGATGGAGGAAACTGAAAGGTTTCACTTTATATCATCAGCAAAGAGGTGGTGACTTTCTGTATGTTGTGTTGTCTAATGACAGCAGTGAGGTACCGGAATCAAACTGAAGAGGATCAAGCATTGAGCCTTGTGGAACGCCATGGGCACAGTTGATTTTATCAGATTCAAAATGAGCAAATGACGCCTGCAAAAGCTCTAAAAGTGAAATACAGGTTACAGCTTAAGATGTTCAATGTCATATGTATTTATATATAACTATGTATACATACAGACTATGACGGCTGCTTTTTGCAAATAGCTCTCTATAGCGCCACCTGAAGGTGGATGTCTGAACATTTTGTGTCCAATATTGTGAAGTCTTCTGAGATGTTACTTAACCATTTCCTTACCCTAGTTTTTACCCACTGGAGATCTCAAGATATAGAGGGCATTATGAATAAAAGCTATTATTATTAGATCTGTTCAAGTCGAGGACAGAGGGAAGCTCAGCCCTGATTGTTCTGTGCAGTCTGGCCTGTCCCGTCCTGTGGATGAGCCAAACCACACAGTCATTTAAGGATGGAAACCGGCCAATACTGAGTCACAGCCCAATACTTTATTCATCTTAATAAAAGCAGTGCCATGTGTATTCTTGAAAACTTTTGAAGTGCAGTTAAATACATTTCATCATTCACGGCTACTGCGGTCTGCACTTCCTGTTTATTTTCTCATATCTTGAGTTTCTGCAGGTCGGTTTCAATCTGCTGCTACAATTCAGCTCAAAACGTGAACAAAATGTGGTGACGTGTCATCTAAAATAGGAATATGTCCTCATCATTTCTGACCTGTCACATATAGCTACAGCTTCCATGAAGACTTCTTGCTCCTGCTGACGATGTCTTCGTGCAATTTGCTAGGCTAAAGCTAGCATGTTTTGGTTAATGGAAATGCTTACAAAGCGGTTGGAGCAAAGTGGAGCCCCAAGAATATAGAGCAAAGGAAAAGGGACATAACCACGGTCTTTCTTATCGTCGCTCTTGGTGGTACAATCAGCGATAAGGGAAACAAACGGTGCTAATGGAATCTGGAATGCTAGCCAATTTTCAGCTATCTAATCTGCATTTTCTTTTGAATAATTTAGATATGCTCTACAAAGTGAATTTTGAATAATTTGGAGTTATGAGCCACAAAAAAACAAAAACAAACAAAAAAAAAAACACCAATAGGTGAATCTGCAAATACTAAGCTGCAAATATACAGGGTGTCCGCTGTACTTTTGTCAGAAAATAAACTTTGTCATGTACTCTGGTCCCAGTCAATAAAAAAGGCAGAGAAATGGAACATTTTCAACTATTCTGCCCTGGGAAGACAAATTAGGTTTACAGAAGTTAACAGGGTCTTCTGTAAATTGATTCACCAAGTAATTATGACACTTTTAAACAGTTTAGTAGGGATTGGATCTAAGCCAATAACTGCTGTTTAAAGCTGTCGGCAGACACAAAACGGAGGTAGTTTTTTTATACTTGAATATGACTAGGAGCAGAGCAAAATTAGCCGTTTCCATTAACATGTACACAAATCTTTGTCGCTATTTTGCTCATTGAAAAAACTGAGTTTCGCAGAATGTTGGTGTTACGATTAAATAGGAAATGAAATTAAAATCACAAGTGAATAAGCTTGTTCACATCATTAAAAATCATGCCACACTATCATCCTATTACCACTTCCTGTCAACTCTTTATTCTTGGGAGCGGCCATGAATGCGGCGTTTCGGGGGAATTGTAATGAGTGATTTTACAGACGAGCTACAGATTCAACACATTGCTATGACACAAAATTTTTTATAAACTGTGCAATGCTGTCAAAGCTCTGATGGAGCCAGCTGACATTGTCTGAAAAAAAAAAAAAAACATCATCTTCCTATTATTTCCTGACATCTTCTTCGTTTTTGGCAGTAGTAACATCCAGCTGTTGCTACTGTGGAATGAATAAAACAGTGTTTCCATTGCAGTTTTGCGAAACACATCCAATTTGAAAGGGCTGAAAAACCAACCTCATCTAAGTGTAAAAACTTTATCAAAGAAGTTTTTTGGAAATCGGTGTGTTTCCATAAAGCAAATTTATCATCACAATTTCAATTTGCTCGATTCCATGAGTAATGGAAATGCAGCTGTGTAAACCTGTACAAGTCTAAAACTTTTACAAGCTTTTTCACCATCTGCAGCAATAAGAACACTGCTGTTAAAATTTTCTAATACTCTGAAAAAGCCACTGTATCCTTCTTTTTTTGGCTTATTAAAAGGTAACATACTAGAATATGTGTCCGATTACTGCTAACCAGTCCAGGTTTCAATCAAAAACATGTTTTCCAAACTCAGCCATTGTGACTAACATGTGCAACGAAAGTTTGAAGCACAAGCACGGATCCAGCCCCCTCCTCTAAGCATGCAATGTGTTGATGTGATTTGTGACTGCTTCCTGTTGTCTCCCTGCGTCTGCTCAACACAAGCTTCAACATGGAGGCGTGCCGCACGGAATCTGCTCTTCCTGCCTCGTCCTTGTTCCACTTTACTGCCGCTCTGGTGAGGATTGCTTCACTGTAAAAACTGATATGCAGGAAACTCAAACATGTCTCTGGAGTGGAGAGGATCTGAGAATATCGCGCGCGCACACACACACACTCACACACACACACACACACACACACACACACACACACACGTGTGTATGTGCTAACGTGGGCGACGGTGCTCAATGCAAGTCTGATGGAGTCATGGCTAATATATGAAGTCTAAACAGATATGTGAAAACAAGAAGGGGGAAAGTTTCTGTTTGCTGGCAGCGTGCCATCCTTCTCTCCTGACAACAAGTCTTGAACCTGGAAGGACACGGAAACACATGCATCACAGAGCACCTGCGATCAGATGTTGTTTTTTTCCCCCAAAATTGATCCTCCAAAGCAGCAGGTTTTGGTTTTCCAGTTTACAGGAAATATGTTTTTAATTCCGTGATTTAGTCCAACTTCTTTCGGTTTACATTTGCAATTAACAAATATTTGAGTTTGCTGGGAACTTTGGAGTCACACCAGACCAGGAAAAGCAAACAGCAGCAAGTCTAAATCTACTGTTGCATTCCTTCCTTCCTTGCTAGCAAACTTAAAAGTACTGGCTAATAACACCAGGAAATGAGAATTACTAAATGATGCAATACTTTTATGGAATGTGTGTTTTCCATTCTAAACAGTGCATGTTTATGGGAATCAAGGATGTGGAATTTATAGTGTTCCTCTGCATCACAATGTGGAGAATAACCTTTGCCATGTCAGCTGCATTCCCATTAACCATAGAATTGGGCTAATTGAAATTACGAAAATAAATTCACTTACCAGAAAACACGTTTTTCAAAAAATCTATGCTGGGATGAGGTGGTTTTTGTGGCCGTATCAAAATACACATATTTCAAAAACTGCAGCGGAAACACTTATTCCGCATCACACAAGTCACGTGATCAACAGCCGGATGTTACTACTACTGGTGACAAAGACGAAGAAGAAGACAGGAAGTGGTAGGTAATGGTTTGTCTTGTTTTTCGGACAGTGTGCAGCTGGCTCCACCAGAGCTCTCACTGCATCACTCAGTTCATAAAAAGTTGAACGTGTTGAATCCATAACACTACTGTAAAGACACTGGCCATTTCCCCAAAACAGTCCAGTCTAAAGAGCCTGAACAAGACCCTGACGCCTCCTCTTATAGCCGATAGCTGGTGAGCGCTAGCACTATGACTGAATCATGATAGCGTGAACAAGCGTGTCATTTCAATTTTGCGCTTCTTATTTAATGGAAACAACGCAATAGCAAAATTATGTTTTTGTTTTTTTCAGTATTAGCAGAATATTGTAACAGTCATTTTACTGCTTGGTTCCTGGAGTTGAGTAGGTTTGACCACAAGGGGGCGCCTATGTAATCCTGCACAGAGTAAGAACTCGTCGTTTCCATGTTTTACAGAGGATAAACATCGGTCATGTTGAGGTACAGAGTGGTTAAACTTTTGTTATTTTTCTCATTTGTGAGAGGGGTAAGTCCAGCACCGTGGAGATCTGGTTTTACATGGACAAAGTGAAATAAGGTGAATGTGTGGAACCGTGCCTTCTGCTGATTTGGGTTGGCGAACCACCGCTGCCAACTCCTTCTCCAACCTCTCACCTCACCGCACCGCAATAAAAATTTGCGCAAATTAGTAATGAAAACGTCGCAACCATCACAACTCAGCTGCTGGAAAGGAGCCGCTTGTGGAGTGTTTCTCTGCGGAGGCCGCTCTTCTCTGTAACGGCTCTTCTAGAGACGAAGGGGGTCTTCACTCAGCTGACTGTTTCTGGCTGCTCTCCCTCACTCCGGCGATTCCTCTATGCCTATGGGCATTGGCACCGAGGGCGTTGGGTACACACGGGAAAACCCTGAGTGGCTCTCGCGATGTTTTGCCTCCAAAATCTTTCTCTTTCTCCTTTTCATCTCTTAGTTTATCTTTGAACCTCCACCCAGGGGTGCTGCTGTCCTTTAACATGCGGCACGATGGACGCGGCTCTCTCTGGATGCGTTTAAACGAGTGTTTAAACCATTATGTCTGTCTCCTCGCCATCCGAGAAGCGCCGTTTCTGTTCGGTACCTGCGCTTGACATTATCCGTGTATTCTCAGCGTTTTGCGCTGCCTCGTGTTTCCCCCTGAACTCTTATTACCAGACCTGGTACACTCATCAAACGCGAGTTGTCTTTGGCAGACATCGCTTTACCTGGTCAAGAACACAGAAAGTTATTCTACACCAGCTGTAAATTACAGCTGTGGGACTATTTTTGTCAGATGTTTGGCTCCCAGCGGAGACTATTTTCGAGGCAAGGGCGCATTTTTTTTTTCCTGTTGCACACCGGTCCAAATAAATCTCCAAAATTATAGCCCACATCCATATTTTCATGTAGCTTAAAATAAAGCTGAAAATCTATCTTCGAAATGAAGACTGAAAGTCTGTCAGTCAGTCTACATCTCACAGTCACTGGGAGAAAAGGAGCTTTGAAGCAGACTCTTCAGCACTGATGGAAAGTGACAGAGAAATATATTTACAACCTCAAATCAGACAATGTTCAGACGGTATGAAAATGACTAATTTGGAAAAATTCTTTATATATTGACTTTGACTCTAATTTCATTGCAGAGATTATGGAAATGCGGCCTTTCATTGGGGTTTCATGTCATCTTCAATTTATTTGTACCGTCTTGAGTAATTTAGGGGCTGGAATTAAATATGAAATATAACAATATTGTTTTTAAAAGTTCATTGTGATTCCTTCAGTGTTCGTTATTGACTTCAGTCTCGATCTTAAGTAGGAAAGAAAATCTTAAGGTCGTCAACAAACAGACAAGCAAACAATTGCTCTTCAAAAAAACAATGTCAAAGGAAGGATTTTCTTTCTACATCTAGTTTAAGAGGAGTCCAAAAAGTCTGAAGCTGTGTGCTCCAAACCTCTGAACAAAATGATCATCCCGTCTGATGTCT